TATTATACCTTCTTCTTTGTGAGTAATAACGCAGAAATATATTACCACTGCTAACAGACTACATTCAGATTATTGTAATTAAAACAACAAAATAAAATTCCATTTCTTCAAAGGAATCATGGGGGACAACCTCTATAAAGAACTCATTGCAGTTACTGAAAGTATTGATTTTTGTGGTTACATGCTTTATTTTTTTAAAGTATGATCTTTGCAGAGTCTGAAAATTTAACTTAAAATCAAAATCATAGATTAAATGATACCCTGATTTAAAATGGAAGAACTGGGGCTTGGAATAAACAAATAATTGAAATCAGAGTGGTACAAAAGTTAAAAATTCTCTTCCAGGAATCTTTGAAGCAAACACTTGGCAGCTTCCCAGATCATGTTAATTGCCTTTTTGATTATACATTTCCATGTGTGCTGACTTGTCCTTTTGGCTTAAAATGTAGTGATTATAAAGAGACTGGGAATATTTAAATATGCTTCTCTTTCATGCTTGTCTTATGGAACTAATCATTTCTGAACATAAACTATTATTTTGTCTTGAAAATATTTTCTAATGTATTTTTAGTGTTTGTAAAATAGGCCACATCATACCACAATTACCTTTAACATACATAATAAAGGGAATTAAAGTTATAGGCCTTTTCCATCTCCCCTACCCCACAGATAAGATTCACTCAAGTGCCTACCATTTGGTAACGGGGGTACCCAGGGCACCTAACCTCAGGGCAAGGGAACAGAACACTTCCTGGGTTCATTCCCTTTGTCACAAACCCACCATTTAATGCCAAATGCCTACTTTCCGTATATTGACATTAGAAATTATGTTTATTCCTCAGTGAATTCATAATTTGAAGACATAAAAAGATCATTTTGTTCTTCCTCATTTTGTGAGAGACCAAGAAGAGTTGGTTATGACTCAGGACAAGTTTGTTATACAATAAAGGACACAGCCATTTCCCACAACAACAAACACACTTGGAGCAATGATAATGGGGGAAAGCCTGGTCCCTGGTAGTAACTCAGTCTGCAGGCCTTCCCAGCTTGGTCTAGGTCAAGGCAAGTGACCTTCTTTAGCATCTGGATGCAGTGCTCTTTCTCACTTCCTGAGCCCCTTTCTGCCTGTATTTAAACGACTGTGGAACCATTGATCGTTTTACTGAAATGCATTCATTGTTAAAAGAATGTTAATAATAATCATCTTTATTAAACATTCCATGTATTCTCAACCCAGCTTTCTTTCTATTAGCATGGCATATCTTTTGCTAGTGTTTTTTATGTTCTTGCTCCCTGTATAATTAAGTAGTGATTGAAAGAGTGCTATTTTCTACCCACCAGACTGTGTATAAGGAGGAAGGGCAAAGAATATAACCCATTTTAAATTTTGATATCTTTATCATATACAATTTTATTTAGTACATCTCTGGTTTTCTCTTGATTAATCATATCCAGGGCAAAGAACAAATGCATGGATAATGAAAAAGTAACTTGTATATTAGTTTCTAATATTAGTTCTAATATTAATAACCTATAAATACTTTTTCTCTAACTACTCTCACTGCTTACCTTTTACATCTGATTATAAAGTCGAGCATGTAATGTCCCCCAAACCAAGGACCACTTCCCTGGAGATCTGGGAAGCCTCATTGGCTTCCTCAGCCTCCCTCCTTCAACTGCCTCCTTCAACCGAAGGATGAAGTCATTGTACATTCCTTGCCAGGTTCTATTTTGTGTTGTAGCCTTACTTAGTAGTTTCTCTGTTGTTGTTTTAGGTGCGGTCAAATTATTTCTAACTCATAACGACCCTGTGTACAATAGAGCAAAACACTGTCCAGTTTGGTTCCATCTTCACAGTTGTTATTTTATATGAGTCCATTATTACAGCCACTGTTCCCATCCATCTCTTTGAAGGTCTTCCTCTGTTTGACTCCCCTCTACTTTACCAAGCACGGTGACCTTCTCCAGGGACTTGTCTCTCCTGATGACATGCCCAAAGTACATGAGTGCAAGTCTTACCATCCTCACTTCCATGGAACATGCTGGCTGTACTTCTTCCAAGACAGATTTGCTTGTTCTTCTAGTAATCCTTGATACTTTCGATATTCTTCACCAGCACAATAATGCACTGATTCTTCTTCAGTCTTATTCAATGTTCAGACCTAATTCAACATTCAATTTTACATGCCTATGAAGCAATTGAAAATACTAGGACTTGGGTCAGAAGCACCTTCGTCCTCAAAGTGACATACTTTCTCTTAAACACTTTAAAGAGGTTTGATGAGCAGATTTGTCCAGTGTAGCACATCATATGATGTCTTGACTGCTGCTTCCATGTGCACTGATTGTTCATCGAAGCAAGATGAAATCCTTGACAGCTTCAATCTTTTGTTATCTATTGTTATCATGATGTTCCCTATTGATCCAGTTGTAAGGATTTTAGTTTTCTTTATATTGAGTTGCATGCAATGCACACTGAAGGCTAGTCTTTTATTTTGTCTAAAATATGGTTTTGTTTAATAGGCCTACTGATTGATGAGTGGAGTGAAAAAATAATGTGTCATAGCAAATTTATGGCCAATTATTTTGTGAATTTACCATATGTTAATATAACATGAAAGTAGCTGTTCATCCTGTTTGGATAATGGAATATTCCTTTGCTCTAAGCTAATCATTAAAGTAAAAACATTTCGCAGTCTCAGATTTGAATATACTTAGGATATTTTCTTAAATAAATGAATTTACCTTTTATTTCTATTTATCTACTTTTTGGAATGAAGTCTAGAGTTTGTTCCAAAGAGTAGGAAGGAATAGACTGAGACTAGCTTAAATTGTCAGATATATTATTCTCCTACCCCTGACCCCAACCCCATCTCTTCTGCAGCAACCCCCATCAGTCTGGCCTCAGAGGCAGGGGAAGGGCTAACAAGGTTACCCAGAGTTAGAATGGCATAAGGCCGAGAGAGAGTGTTGGGAAATCTAACTCATTCACTGCTATCAAGTCAATGCCAATTCATAGCAACCCTGTAGAGCCGCGAAGAACCTGGCTTGTGAGTTTCCAAGACTGAAACGCTTTACTGGAGTAGAAAACCTCATCTTTCTCCCACAGACCAGCTGATGGTTTCGAACAGCTGACCTTGTAGTTAGCAGCCCAACATGTACCTACCTGCTATACCACAGGGCTCCTCTGTTATGAATGGATGATGGTATGAGTGAATGCCATATTAAGGATAAGTTGACACTAGGTCTTGGAGATGTGTGGACATCTCACTTTCTTCTCATTCCATTTAAATGCTGAGCCCCATTTAAATGCTGCTTTTGGTATCTCCTGGATTTCCTTATCCCAGCTTATCCTTAATACAGCTTCTATCACACCACTGTCCTTCATCCTGTTCAGAAGCTGCCTGACTAGCCCTTCTGTCCCTGTGTTCCTGCTGTGCCCAGATTCTCCCTCTCACCTTTCTTTCCTCCTTCATACTTTTTCTGCAAGACTTATCTCAGCAGTCTCCTCTTTGTGGAAGACTTTCTGTGACCTCCATGTTAAACCACATGTTCTGTCTCTAGATGTACAAAGAACTCTTCACAAATCGATCTTGACTTTTCCCATGTCTACCATAATTATTTATAGCTCCATCTTTCTTTGCCATTACACTGTAAGTTCTTTGAGAGCAGAATGATTTATTCATTATATCCATCTTTGTAACCTAGTACCATGCATCATCCATGGCAAATCGTAGGCATGCAATAAATATTCTGCTAAGCTAAAACCAAAATGTGGATTTTTAATGCTCTTTAAAGGAATCTATTGGTAAAAAGAATCATTAATACCTTTCTTTAATTGAATTATCCCACATGTCTCAAAGTTTTGAGTGGCTCTCCAGAAATAAACTTTGCTGAAGAATATGTCTATGTTTAGGTCTAACTGTTTTAAAAAGCATTTCTCCAAGATGAGCAGGGCATGATCAATAACATTTGAAACTCATGCCTTCAATCCCTATCAGAATTTAATTACAAGCAAGATCTGATTACAAGTATCTAGCTGATATGCAACCCAAAGTTACAAATCAATTCATATAAAGCCTATTATATTAAAAACTTAAGGTACCTACAGTGGCTTGTAATAACAGATGGTCACTACTTTATGACACCTATCAAAATGTTATTACTATTATTATTGTATTGTTATGGGTGTTCTATATCTATATCTCATTAATTTCATTCTATGTGTAGAAAGGTACACTATATAATATGTATTAAGAGAAACAGTTGGCGGACACTAGATATTAACTGTGCCTTACTACTCTGACTTAGGTATGAACTCAACTAAAGACAGACTTAGAAACTTGACTCATCCATAACACAGGGACTACCTGTATATGATTTTTTTTGGAGATTTTTAAAGTGTAAATAAAATATGTCCAGAATGAGTGAATACCATGTAAAATATACTCTTTGAGTGTATCTACTTATGTCAGATAGTATGTAAGAAAGGAAATTCATAAGGTGGCTGGAGAGGATCCGGAGAGCAATAGAGTGATAAGTTTATAACTATAAAGGGTCTTTAAAATTGATCAGAATCCAAGTAAAATTCTGTGTATAATGGGAATATGTTAAATTCCATGGAGTTGTATGGCTGACATTAAAATATTGAAGGGATTTTTGTAGGATTTAGTGTTTTTGGTCTGATCTTGCTTTATATTCTACTTGGATTTGTTGTACATCTTCACATTTCATGAGTTCCTTCAAAAATATTTGCCTGTTTATCAATAATGGAGACCCACCCGCTAACTTCTTTGGAGAAATGAGTCAAAGCCTGTAATTCCTGTGTGTCACAAAGCAGAACTGCTTCCTGGGGTTTCCTCGGCTGTCGTCCTCATGAAAGCAGATCACTAGGCCTTTCCTACTGCTGGGTTGGTTTGAACCATCAACGTTTAGGATTAACCATTGTAAAGAGTGGAATTCTTCTAACCTATAACTCTTCAATGTCTTCTCTTCTTCAGTGGGATTGGAAGAAACTGGCCCTGGGCCTCAGGAGGCAGCAGCATTCTGGCAGAGTTTGGAACCCTGCATCTGGAGTTTATGCACTTGAGCTACTTATCAGGAAATCCAGTGTTTGCTGAAAAGGTGAGAATCCCAGTACGCTTTGCACAGGAGTACTGCTGGGTGTGGAAAAGACATGTAGGTGTACACCATAATATAGGAAGTTCACACAGCTTTCATTTCACTACACACTTGTAAACCCGTCTTCTTTCCAGGGCACCGTTCTAATTGAGAATGAGAGGACCCGACTTCTCGCTATACCTCAAGCAGGTCTCTCTCTATCTCTTCTAATGTTCTCCGCAAGTGAAAATGGATAGTGCATTGTGGACTCCATACGTTTATTAAAGACCTTGCTGCGCAAAGTACCATACAAATGAGAGGTGGCAACTGAGTCCGTTTCTAGTTTTTCAGAAGCAAACACATAGATATCCGGGTAAATTCATATTCAGCCCCACCAGCACTACTCTGCCCTTCAGCTCTCACTCTGCTTTTTCTGTTCCCTTTACAGCAGAGGGTTTTGAAAGAATTCCCTCTGCTGTTTTCCCTTCCCTTTCCCTTTCCCTCTCCCTTGAATCCTGTCCCACTGGACCTTGCTTCCAGCCACACCTGTCACGGTGGACGTGATCACTTTGCCAAATCTGCTAATCCTCTCTCAGCTTTCATCTTCCTTGCCCTCTTACCATGGACCCAGTTGGTCACTTCTTCCTTCATGAATCGTTCCCTTCACTTTAAATCAGGTGTACAGTACAATATTGCCTCCTTCCTCCGTCTCCTTTGCTGGATTGCCAAACCGTAGAACTCAAACTTGGACCTCTTATGTTATGTTCTTTCCCTGTGTCATTTCATCTAGGCCCACGACTTTAAAAACCATCTCCTCCTGATCAACTCCATATTTATAATTCCAGGCCCAACCTTTCTTTCCCTTGAACTCCAAATTCAGTAATCAGCGACCTTGACTGCATTTCCTCCAACTCGTCTAACAGAAAATGACCACATAAAATGCCTCAAAGCCAACTCTGGGGCTTAATTATACCCTAGTCTTAACTATCTTGATAAACAGCAACTTGCTCAGTGACTCACAGCAAATATTCGAAGTGTTTTTCCTTTTCTTGAGGTAAAGCTCACAGCCATTCCATCTGGAAACAGTCCATATGTCACTGTCCTGTCATCTCTGCTCTAACTCTCAATCTCTGCTCCCCTCAACCTCTGTACTGGCCACCTGACTGCTGTGTTCCTCTGGGTAGACTAGAAAAACAAATCCACAGAAATTCATGTATGTATAAGACAGAGTTTTATATAAAGGGTATGTGTACATTCAGAAAGCAGCCCAACCCAGTCCAGTCCAAGCCCATAAATCCAACATTAGCCCATATGTCCAACACCGATCTGCAAAACCCTCCTCAAGCTCAAAGAACACACACAGTGACACTGACTGCAGGAGGAAAGCCGAATCAGTGAGCGTGTAAGCATCTCATCACTGGCTGGGGTCTCCACACAGCTGCTCCAGCACCCAGGGCTGCATCAGGGTAGGTCAGTGTGACTTCTCCTTAGGGATGCCTCGCAGGAAGTGAGCCTTGTCAGCTGAAGCAGGGAACTGGCTAAGGCAGCTGCATCCTGGTCTGACCATCAGATAACAAGGGACCAGACAGGCGAGGCTCACCGAGCCATTTATCTCTCCACCCTTCAAGTAATCCCACATGTGTTCATCGGCTAGGGTGGCACAATAAACCTTAACTATCATACTGCTGCTTCCAACATTGCCCCTTCAGATGCACCTAGATTTTAAAAACACAAGTCTTCAGTGACTCTTCGTCACATGCAGAGTAAAATAAGTCCTCGTTGTTGTAACAAAAATCTTCCCATGAAATGGACATGCCACCTCTGTTTCCTGCTTTCTGACACTCACTGCTTTCCTTCCTCAGCTCCACCTTCAGTGGTCTTGCCAGGTGCACACAGGGCGCTTGGTCCTCTCAGTGTCAGTGCGGCATGTGTCCTGTCTTCCTTTACAGCACATCAGCCCTCTTAACTGATTCAGGGCAGCCTTCACTCACCACCCTCGGTGCCACCACTCTTTTTGTTTCTGTTCATAGCATTAATCGTTTCCTGACCTTATGGGTAGAGCATACTGCTATTATCTATATCATCCCACTAGAAGGCACATTTACAGAGAGTGGAGACTTTTTTATGCACTGACATATTCCTGTTTCCTAGAACATCAACTGGAATACGGTACATACTCAGCCCATCAATTATTAGATGATATTTACATACTATTGTTATTTTTGTAATGGTAATGAACCAGGGCTATTTTTGCTCTCAGTCATCAATGAAACAGTGTACTTTTTTTTAATCAATGGAGAAATGTGATCCATAAGAAGAAAAGAAGGCACCAAAATTGTTCTTTAGATTTTTATAGTAACATTTCATTTCTCTTACAGGTAATGAATATCCGAACAGTCCTGAACAACCTGGAGAAACCACAAGGCCTTTATCCTAATTATCTGAATCCCAGTAGTGGACAGTGGGGCCAACGTAAGTCAAAAGAATAGCAATGTTTCAGCCTTTTGTGGTACTGAGCACTGGGCTGGGGCCAGAGAGAGAGCACAAAGAGACGAAAATATTGTATAGATTTTAGAAAAAAGATGAAGGGAAATGGTTCTTTTAATAAATAAGCTTCTGCATCATTATTACTACTGAACTAGATGTGTACTTCATGCATCACTGTAAGCCTTATGGCATATAAGCACATTTAAATCTATTGATCAGAAGGGAAGACCTGCTCAGAGGAATGTGTTGGTGCTACCTTAGAATAAACTAACCATGTGGCTGGGAGTAAAAATTATTTCTTTGTACAAATGGCCAGCAGAATTGGGGGCAGAGAATCTGTGTCATCCGATGTCATAACCTTTCTTTCTGCTTGGCCACACATGAAAGAGGATCCTGAATCTTTAAGAGAATAAAAATTAGATGACCAAACAGAGAGTTTTCTCTACTTAATTTGAAGGCAGCAGACAAAAGGGGTTATGCCAGGTCAACTGTTACCGTGGGGGTAAAAGAATGGATTGTGTATTGTACAGGGCTTTCTGATGACAGAAGACCTTGCTTCAGACCTTTCCAACAGGAGTATAAAGCATTAGCTCGCTGACAGAAATGTCCAACCTGATTTGGAAACAGTGATAGAGTAAGCAGTGGGTGAAAGCAAATGAAGAATATCAAGTGAAGTTCCTAGCTATTTCTGTTACTGTAGTTGGTAATGTATAAACTTTTACTCTGATTTTGGATACTTTATTTACATTTAAACATTGTATTCTTAGATGAGGATGCTTTACTACTACTTTGTAATTTTTTTTAATAAATCATTTTATTGGGGGTTCTTACACCTCTTACAACAATCCTTACTTCAATTGTGTCAAGCACATATGTTGCCATCATCATTTCCAAACATTTCCTTTCTATTTGAGCCCTGGGTGTCAGCTCCTTATTTTCTCCCTCCCCCACCCTCCTAACCTCGTGAGCCCTTGAAAATTTATAAACTTTTATTTTCATATTTTATACCATCCGCTGTCTCCCTTCACCCATGTTTCTGTTGTTCGGCCCCCTGGGGGTGGTGGAGACTATACGTCGATCATTGGGGACAGGGTATGCATTGATCCTTATAGTGGTTACCCATTTCTCCCCCTTCTCCTGCCACCTTCCCCCTACCATCATGGTATCACTACTCACATTATTGTTCCTGGGGGGTTTTATCTGTCCTGGATTCCATGTGTCCAGAGCTCTTATCTGTACCTGTGTACATATTCCGGTCCAGCCAAATTTGTAAGGTAGAATTGGGGTCATGACATTAAGAACTAGAGGAATGTGTTCCATTGGTGCTATGCTGCACCCTGACTGACTCATCTCTTCTTTGTGATCCTTCTGTGAGGGGATGTCCAATGGTCTATAGATGGGCTTTAGGTCTCCTCTCCGACCCCCATCATTTGCATCAATATATTTGTTTGTTTTGGGTCTTCTGATGCCTGAAACCTAATCCTGTTGACACATCATGATCACACCAGCTTGTGTACTTCTTCCATGCTTTTTTAAAATAGCAACTCATTAGAAAAAAGGTGTTTATATATATATATATATGTTAGTAATGACTGTGGGTTGTCTCAGTATTGAGACTGGGTCATATTTTAAAAGACATGAAAGAAAAAAAACCAAATTGGATGTAGGAAGACACTCTGAAACTTGCTCTAATCATAGTGTAGCTCAGGCAAATGGAAGAAATGATGAAGTCAGAGCTGAAAAGAAACGTTCAAAGTGCAGGTCAAGAAGACAAAGTAAAATATTACAATGAAGTGGGAAAATACCTAGGGTTAGAAAACCGAAAAGGAAGAATATGTTCAGCATATCTTACAATGAAAGAACTCAAGAAAAAAAATTCAGGCCTCAAATTGAAATATTGAAAAATTCTGTTGGCAAAATATTGAACAATGCCAGAAGCATCAAAAGAAAATGGAAAGAATCCAAAGAGTCATTGTACCAAAAGAATAAGGCTATCTTCCACCTTTTCAAAAGGTAGCATGTAGTCATAGCTGCGCTGGATGCATGAGGCAAAAAGACACCTTCAGGAATTGATGAATTAGCAATTGTTAGCAATTGTCGTGTTTCAACCAGCCGAGGAAGCACTGGAAGCACTCACTCATCTATGCCAAGAAATTTGGAAGACAACTAGTTAGCCAACTGACTAGAAGAAATCCCTATTTGTACTCATTCCAATGAGATGCGCACTTGTACCCAGCAGAATGCTCAAATTGTAAAGCAATATCATTAATATCACAAGCAAGTAAAATTTTGCTGAATTTTAATTATCCAACAATGGTAGCAGCAGTACGTGGACAGAGAGCTGCCAGAAGTTTACGCCAGATTTAGAAATGGAAGTGGAACAAGAGCTGTCATTGCTGACATCAGTGGATCTTGGCTGAAAGCAGATGATACCAGAAAGATGTTTACTTGTGTTTTACTGATTATGCAAAGGCATTTGAGTGTGTGGACTGTAATAAAATGTGGATAATCTTGAGAAGAATGGGAATTCCAGAACATTTCATTGTTCTCATGAGGAAGTTCTACAGATCAAGAGATAGTTGTGGGAAATTAACAAGGGAATACTGCATGGTTTAAAATCTGGATAGATGTGCATCAGGGTTGTATCCTCTCACCATATTGGTTCGGTTTGCATGCTGAGCAAATCATCGGAGAAGCTGGACTCTATGAAGAAGAATGTGGCATCAGGATTGGAGGAAGGCTAATTAATAACCTGTGACATGCAGATGACACAACCTTGCTTGCCTGAGTGAGAACTTGAAGCACTTGCTGATGAAAACCAAGGATTGCAGCCTTCAGTATGGATTACAACTCATATACAGAAAACCAAAATCCTCACAACTAGACAAGTAGTTACATCATGTAAAACAGAAAAGATTGGATTTTTGTCAAGGATTTTTGTCTGCCTTGGATCCATAGTCAATGCTCATAGAAGTAGCAATCAAGAGATCAAATGATGCATTGTATTTGGGTAAACCTGCTGCATGAGACCTCTTAAAAGTGTTGAAAAGCAAGGATGTTACTTTCAAGCTAAAGTGCACCTGACCTAAGCCATAATATTTTCCATTGCCTTATATGCATGTAGACATTGGGAATTGAATAAGGAAGAACAAAAAAGGATCCATGCATTTGAATTTCAGTGCTAGGAAGCATATTGAAATACCCATAGACTTCCAAAAGAACAAATAAATCTGGCTTGGCATAAGCATGATCAGAATGCTTCTGAGAGGTAAAGATAGCAAGACTTCCTCTCACATACTCTGGACATGTTGTCAGGAGACCAGTCTCTGGAGAAGGACATCACGCTTGGTACAATAGAGGGGCAGTGAAAGAGAAGGCGGCTTCAATGCAATCGATTTACATAATGGCGGCAGCAGTGCACTCACGCATAGGAACCCTTGTGAGAATGGGACGGTGCTGTGTTCTGTAGTACATAGGATTGCTATGAGTCATAACTGACTGAAGGGCCCTTCATGACAACTATTATTGAGACCATAAAGCTTTAGTCAAATTTTCACTTACTTGTGTTTACAGCAGGTAGTGATAAAGAAGTGGGTACCTGAAGGATTTTAGTATGGTTTTTTTTCTCATAGAGCAGCTGATGAGTTTGAACCATTGACCTTGTGGTTTGCAGTCCAGTACTTACTAATACAATAATAAGTTCTGTGGATAGTGCATGCAATTTAGTTAATGCTCAATAAATTTAGCTGCTATTATGGATATTGTGGTGGTGCACTTGTTCCAATGCAAGGAGCAAATAAATAGTGCTAAATAAAGTTCCAGCAAGTTTCATAGACTTAAAGCACTTTTAAAAAAAAATAAAATGTGACCATATATCACCGATGACAGACCCATCATTTCTGTGGTTCAGACTGCAAGCACCGTTGGCTGGCAGAGAAGGCAGGGTTCTATATGAACTGCAGTGGGTTAGGAAGGAGGGATACAGACTGAAACTGGTATTAGAAAGTTGATGGAAGGGCAGGGAGGGATGAAGAGGCTGAGCAAAGTCACAGAGAAGGCACTAAGCTTTTACTTAAAGCAATACTAGTATCCAGACGATTTCTTAAAAGGTGGAGGTCTACAGACCCCAGGAAGTCCCCAAAACCTTGTAAGGTTTCCATAAGGTCAAAGTTTGGTTTTTTTTAATATAATAATATTATGGTGTTTTTTGGTTTGTTTGTTTGTTTGTTTGTTTTGCTTTGTTACCATGTCTAAAGGTTTACCTTTGCATGTCTGATGTAAAAGTTAGGAAAACTGATGAATCTTCTATAAGAATCAAGGTAAAAGTACCAAATGTACCCTTGGTTGTTCTGTTCTTCAGTGCAGTTTAACAAACAATTTATGAATGTTTTTAAAGTGGAATTACTGATTTATGGATTAGATTTAAAAATTAATGATTAAGGATTTCTCATTCCTTAAGCCTATGTTTTTTAATTATTCCATAAGATGAATTGGAAGGTACAAATAAAACTCTCCTTCTGCATAATGAAAGTCTGTGGATGCCATGAGGAGACAGACATATTTAAGTTGCAAGCTAAACTAGCAATTTGATTTTTTTATAAGCACCATTTTTACTTAAAAGTGTACTAGAGGCAAACTATAAATTTTCAGACTTGGACAAGTCTGTAAGTCATTTTTGAAAACAACTCTGTCATTTCAAGGAAAATAATATTTGTGCTACTGATAAATTTCAAACCTCTAAATAAAAATTAGAACTATGAAGAATTTCATCTGCCACCAAGAATTTGCTAACTTCCCCATACTTAAAAATACTTTTCTTTCTTCTTTTTTCAATCATTTTATTTGGGGCTCATATAACTCTTATCACAATCCATATATCAGTTGAATTGGGCATATTTGCACATATGTTGCCCTCATTCTTTTCTAGACATTTACTTTCTATTGAGCCCTTGGTATCAGATCCTTTCCCCCCCCCACCCCCGTGC